AAAAAAAAAAAAAAAAAAAACAAATTTTATTAAACAAATGTATATATACATATTATTTTTATTTACTGATCGAGAGAGATTCTGGGGACAGTCTTCATCAGAAATTAATTCATAATATTTTTAAATACTATTTATTTTGTAAAGAAAGGTTTTGTTTCAAATTAAATGAGTGACTGAAAAATTATATATGTATACATAAATATATTATTTATGCCAAGTTGTAAGTTGCTAATTGTGGAAAATACAGTTTATATCTCAATAATTTGGAACTAAAAAAATTTCAAGTATCTAGCTTCAATAAAGTCAAAATGGTTTACGTTAATAGAGACAGGCGGTCGGACAGCGAGACGGACATTGCTCAAAACTAATATACTCATATCACTTTCGTGAATGGATACAACAAGGAAAACCAGAAATAAGCAGAAATAATCAAATCAAGAGTATAATTTGAATGTGTAATATTATCCAATATCCAAATAACACCCGTTTAAATTCAAACAAATTTGTAATTTCCACCATTTGCTTGACCTACTCCTTGACAAATGCGTAAGAGGAAAAGTTTCATTTTTTCGCTTTGCTTGTCAAATGCAGCTCGACATTGTTTTATAAAGCTAGCAACGACCTTTTATTCCACAAAAAAACAACAAAAACTACAACAACAACAACAAGGGCAAGAACAGCAACAGTAAGAATATTGTCGCAGAAATGTATGCTTCACTTATTTAATAGAGAGCATAATAAATATTACACAAGCGCAGGTGCTGGCTGGCTGCTCCTTAAGGACGTTTGTCAGACAAAGCCGCATAAAATCTACCGCAGTTTCAGTGTCAACAGCAGCAGCAAATGGTAACTGGAAACTGGTAGCTGTAACGGGTAACTGCAACATGTTGCATGGCGTCAACAAATCGGCTACTCATTGTCGAATAATGCAACAAACTGTGTACAACATTGGATCAACTAACTCCCAGCAGAAGTTCATATAAAATGAATTCCTGTTGATGGTATTGTATGTTGTTCTTCTTAGTGGGATGATATGGATTTAATAGCGAATATGTGACAAACAAGCGGATTTAAAGATTCTTAAGATATGTGGATAAATTGTTATAGAGATAGATGTACATGAAAATACGTGTCCTATGCTAAACACTTAGAGCAAATTTGAGTTGCAGCTATGCCGAGGAGCTAAAAATTTCCGCTATGATATCTATATAGTCAGATTTGAATATATACTGACCCAGCACTAGAGTTAATGTAAAAGTCTTCTAAAGTCTTCTTCACGGCAGATCGGAAATTGGATATAACAGCATTTGGGCCTGTAGTCAATAAAACCTCTCTGGAAAATTCTTACTATCAAATGATCAACGGATTGTTACGGATTAATAAATACGAAAAAATTAGCAAATTGTCAGAATCTCTATTAAAAATTTCTATTATCAAACAGACGTTGCTATTGCACACTGATGCCTGTAGAGTAAAGGTCTAACTAGAAACTAACTAGTAACTATTTACTAAAGTAAAAGTATATAATTTGATGCCCATATTCTGCACTTAAAAATAATTATAAAAAGAAATAAATAAATAAAA